TAAAAGACATCCTTAGGGAAAGGTAAGCCTATGAATTCTTTTTTTTTTTTTAAATTTTTATTTATTTTGGGGAGGAGGGGTAGAAGGAAAGCTGACTCCCCACTGAGCAGGGAGCAGAATGTGGGACTTGATCCCAAAACCCTGGGATCAGGACCTGAGCCAAAAGCAGATATTTAACCAACTGAGCCACCCAGGTGCCCCATATGAATTCTTTTAGTATCTTCTCTTGTAAATAATTCCTTGAAGGATAAAGAACACTAATTAATTGGTGGAAGGGGTAGGAATCAATAAAAGGATGTTCTAGTTAGGTACAGATTGGAACTCTAACCAAATCAACACATTTAGTCTTCCCCAGACAGCCCCCTGTTTTAGGCCATTTCTTTTGGGGCACAGAAAAGATCAGACAAATTCTACCCACGCCCTTGATGGAGATTTTCAGGTATAGCTAGATATTGCTGTTTGCAGAAGAAAAGGAGGGGCAAAACCATTCAATTCATTTTCATGATAGTGATCATGAAGAAGACACCACAGGTGTTTACTAGGATTTTAGTTTAATGGGGAACACACCCCGAGTGTCAGACAAAACCAAGATTGCTGCTTTCATCTGAACTTGAGAAGCTGGAGAGTTCCTGGGTATAATGATGCTGTCCTGCCTCACATTAGACAATATGTACCTGTGAAGTTCTTTGAGCGTTAACTGGGTCCATGAGACCATATCAGCCAGCCCAGAGAAGGTGCTGGAACAGGACACCACACTCTCTGGCTGCTACTGTAATCTGCATGCGTTGCTAAGAGTTCAGCTCCATTTCCTGCTCTCTACATTTTCTTTGAAATCTCACTGCCGTCTAATGACTTAGGACTTTTACATCCTGAGTAGGTCAGCGTGAGCATTCGTATCTGGGGCTCAACAAGAGAGAAGTCTCTCATTTGGTTATAAGAAACTGAATGGTAACTTTTAGAGATATTCACAGTCTCCTGTGTGATGTTGGGATTCTGAAAGGAAGTCGAACAGACACTTTTTTTTTCAGCTATTCTTTACTCAAAAAAAAAAAAAAAAAAAGAAAAAAAGAAAGAAAAAGAAAAAGAAAAGAAAAGAAAAAAAGTTTAGTGTTTAAGTTAACAGGACCCAAATTTTTCTGCAAATTCCTCAAATCATTTTCTAACACACAGCTTTAACTTACCTTCAAATTCCAAGCATGTCAGTTGTGGCTATTCTGATTTCTTGTACTCCAGTAAGGATAGAATTAGCCAGAACATGAGCCGGTGATCTTCAGTTTACCAGAAACCATAAATCCCATGTTAGCACTGAAGTAACATCCTGTTAGACATGTGTATCCTTTTATGTTAAATTCAGTTTTTCTCTGGTTACAAGTGACCAAAAACAACAACAACAACAACAACAACAACACGCAAAAGAAAGAAAAAGAAAAGTGAGAGAGAGAGAAAGAGTTTAAGCCAAAAACCAAGGGGTTGAGGTATTGTGGGAGAACTCTGGAGGATCTCCTCAGTGCACAGAAGAGGGGCACCAGGCCTTGGGAGGGCAGAAGCAGGGCGTCTCTGGGGAACTTGCTGAACAAGAACACCTTCAGAGACTTTCTCCATAGAGTGCTTGCTGCCTCAAACATTTCTAGATCAAAATGTCTACTTTCTGGGAGAGAGACACTGATTGTTCCTTCTTTGCTCAGGATTCACCTCTGGCCCAGTCAGCCTTGATGGTAGGGTAGAACCAAACAACAGAAGCAAGACTTAGGAGAACCAAGAATCTACTCCAGGGGCGCCTGGGTGGCTCAGTGGGTTAAAGCCTCTGCCTTCCCATAATCTCAGGGTCCTGAGGCCAAGCATTGGGCTCTCTGCTCGGCGGGGAGCCTGCTTTCTCCTCTCTCTCTGCTTGCCTCTCTGCCTACTTGTGATCTCTGTATGTCAAATAAATAAATAAAATCTTAAAAAAAAAAAAAAAGAATCCACTCCAGTGGGCTCTGTGGAGGCTTTCAGAGAGAAGGGGGCTGTCCACTGCCACCCACACACCAACTTTAATACTGTAACCACATAGTATGGTTAAAGGCAAACCTTGGTTATTTTCCATTGTAGAGTGATGAACACATTAAATGATGCATTCTTTCCTCATATTTAATTTTGTGACTTCTTTTATTAATTAAATGAGGCCTGGTGCAGTAATAAGAGGCAGATGTGTGACTAGTAGAAAATCCAGGATGAATCTGTCATCTTGGTACGCAATGGGAGATATGTGAGAGGCAAAAAACTGGCAATTGTTATGAACACACAGACAAGAACCAATTTCTTATTTAGTTAGGTTTTTAAGTAGAATGTAACTTTTGGGGTGCCTGGGTAGTTTAACTGGCTGACTCTTGGTTTTGGCTCTGGTTGTGATCTCAGGGTCATGGGATCAAGGCCTGCGTCAGGCTCCATGCTCTCAGAGGGGAGTTTGCTTGAGATTCTCTCTCTCCCTCTCCCCGCCCTGCCCCTCCCACTGCTTGTGTGTGTGTGCTCTCTCTGTCTCTCTTTCTCTAAAATAAGAATAAATAAAGAAAATTGTAAATAGAATTTAACTTTCAAAAAAGGTCCAAAAATATATCATTATTGTGATATGTCACAGGTGTTAATTGGCTTCTCGTCTTAATGTGTGTATCTGTATAGATGCAAGCATGTATTTTCTGATATCATCGTACTTCATCACATCCAAACATTATGCTATCTACAGTCTTTCTAAATATGTAAATGGAAGACCATCATTAACTGTGTCTAAATTATGTACATGTAATTATAACTGTTGGAGTCACTATTTTGGTAGACTGTCTTTATTTGAAGTCCCAGTTCTATGTCTCCCACTAATGTCCTAAGTCTCTTTTCCATGATGTATTGGACCTCACACAGCTAACGCAAGACCCAAGGTGGAAAGATGGCGGAAAGGCTTTTCTGGAAGGTCAGAAAAGCCTTGGGTGACCCCCAGGTTGGACAAACAGTTGTCCAGGAAAGGGATTGTGTCAGTCCCTCCCTGTCCTCAGCTCATGGTGTTGTCAGAAATTACAAAATGCAGGCCAAACATGCACAGATCAGCTGTCTGCCTGGTTAGTATATTATTTTCATTTCTAGAGAAGCATATGAGCAAATATTTCTCCCTCTTCCAGAACTCAATATATATGGAAATCCTGAAAATTTTCATTCCAGACTGCAACAAATATTCTATTTCCTATGAATCAATGAAGATATCATCTGTTGAACTATTGATCTTTCTACCCCGGAAGCTGGGTTTTTTGTTTTTTGTTTTATCTTTTTAGAGTCCTCTAAAAAATAAACTCTGGGGGATATTTTCCTTCTTTTCTTTATTCAGGAATGGAAAAGATGCCTATTTTACTCCCTCTGTCAACCTCAGGCTGTGAAAACACATTAGTCACTCAATTTACACTTCTAAAGGAAAACAAACACACACACACACACACACACACACACACACACACACACACAACTAACAAAGCAAGCTCAATGGTTCTCAGATCATCAGATGTTTCCAAATAAAGTTTATCAGTTTGTATCTCAACTGCCATACCCAAATTCCTAAAAACCCAAGGTAACAAAACAAAAGCAAGGGATCTGTGCTCTTGTTGGAATCGGCAGCATTCACAGGGCAGGTGGGTCGTGGAGCCCTTAGCTAGGCTCTTCCATGTTCCCCAAAGAAGCAAGGCTAATGTCTTGTGCAGCCTTTATTTCTGCCTCTTATTCTTGAAATATTTTCCAGGAAAGCATAAGAGATCGTGGTTTGCAGTCAAGCAGTCCTGAGTTCCACTTAATTCCCCAGACCCTTGGCTGTGAGGCCTGGACCCGTTTTGTCCTCACTTGCTCCGTCCTTAAATGGAAAGAGGCAACATTTGCTCCCAGGACTGCGGCAGAATGATCAGCAGTAGCTACTGTTCCTGGTGGAAGAGTGATTACAAAAGGGATTCCCCGTGACACTGAACCAGCGGCTCTCCCTCATTCCACACGATCCTGACACTTGAGTCATTTTTTTCAGAGGATAGTTGTTGTGGGGAGGGGATCCCACTCCGACATTCCTCATCTGTGCTGTGACATGGAGAAATGCCTTGTGATGTAAGCTGACATTCTGCCTCAGGGAGGCTGGAGGGCCCAAGGTTGTCAGAATCCGTGGCCTGTTTTCCTTATCTTTCACCGTGGTGTGCCGTACAAATATTCTCATTTCCATGCCAAGTGTGAGTGCGTGCGCGTAGGCCTGTGGGACACCTCGTGCACAGCCTGTAGACTAGTGTAGGCAGCAGTCTGGGGAGCAGTGGACAGTACTTCTTCACCATAAATGTCCATATCTCCTGTGATCCAACAGATCCTTCTCAGGTCCATGAGGGGCCATGTGCAAAACTGTTCACCATGGCAGCATCCACAGAGGCAGGTGCTGGCAGTGGGTGCCAGATATAGGCGGTGTCCACCATGAAGTCCCACGGATTAGATGTAGACACAGCAAGACCTTGCTCAGGGAATAAAGAAACAGAGTGAATGAGATCTACAACCTGAGAGCACTTATACAAGTATATCATTGTATACAAAATGTATACATTTTATAATTACACAGTAGACAAAATAATATACACTAAACATCTGAAATGGCTGCCTAAGGGAATTGGAAAGAAGAGTGGAGAAGGGAAGTTACAAGGAATGGAGAAAGGGGTGGATAGATAGATAAATGAATGAAAATGAATGAATGAATGAATGAATGAATGAATGAAGAGCTAGGGCCCTATACAGAGTAATTGGGGATATGATTGACTTAGCCCAGGGGCACCTGGGTGGATCAGTCAATTAAGCATGCGATTCTTGATTTCGACCCAGGTCCTAATCTCAGGATTGTGACATTGAGCCCCACAACGGCTCTGCACTCAGCACAAAGTCTGCTTGGGATTCTCTCTCCCTCTCTCTCTTGCCCTTCCCTTCACTCAGGCATGCATGCACTCTCTCTCTCTCAAATAAATGAAATCTTTTTAAAAAATGGGGTGCCTGGGTGGCTCAGATGGTAAGCCATCTGCCTTTGGCTCAGGTCATGATCCCAGGGTCCTCAGATGGAGTCCCATATCAGGGTCCCTACTTGGCAGGGAGCCTACTTCTCCCTCTGCCTCTGCCTCTCTCTTTCTGTCTTTCATGAATAAATAGGTAAAATCTAAAAAAAAAAAAAAAAAAAAAAAAAAAAAGATTCACTTAGCTCATTGCTTCTGTATTCCTAAATGAAAAATAATTATTTTTTGCGTGTGTGTGATCTTTAAAAAATTGGGAAGCAACTGGTCAGGTCAACGTAAACATTTCCTTGGAAGCCACCAAGAATGGAAATTAATAGCAATTTAACAAAAGTTAAATGTCAAACTAGGAAGGAAAAAATATGTTTGCCACCTGTTTTCTCTATAATAATTATAGAAGGGTGATTTGTAAAGAGAGGCCGTTACTTTGAATTAAGACACTAAAATCACAAGGTAGATTACATTAATAATTTTAAAGAAATGCATTTTTTGATATTGAAAGATTGCTGGGTGATCTACAAGGCCTAAACTTGTAGTTTTCAAACAGATTTGTTAGAACAGTAGGGGGTAGTAGGGAGGGTATTTTTCCTTAGCAAATTTTGCTTGCCTTATCCATGCCAAAAATGGGAAGCTGTTAGACCCTTCTGATTTCCATCCCCTATTTCTTTCCTGGTCAAAAATATCTGAGAACGGTGTCTACAATCATTTTGGAAAACAGTTTGGTTTGTCTCGAAGGTGGCTCTCCAGCAGGGCACTAGGAAAGGAAGGAGGTGCTATTTTGGCTGACCCTGGAGGTCTGGGTCAGATTCGGACGTATGCTAACAAGTGGAAAGGACATTGCAGGTGGAGGGAGGAGCCTGGGGATAAGAATGAGCAGGGCAAATTCAGTCACCTGTCTAGAAATGAAGAGACCGTCCCCATCACAGCTGCAGGGCTGGCCATGCCCAGGCTCCCAGGGCAGCTCAGACCCTACAGCTGTGGGTGATTGAGCACAGGGAGCATTCTGGGGCACTGTCCTACACCGGGTGGGCCAGGAGCCCACAGCTTCTCATGAAATCTCGTAGATTAAAACAGAGGGCCCATTACATCCAAGCACAGTTTTCATTTTCACCAGGTAATTTTTAACCTCCTTCTGGCAGGGCTGTAAATTTCTGGGTGAGGGTGTCCATCTCTGTGGCATTCTTATTTGTTCCCTTCTATTTCTTTTTAGTGGTGAACCCCTGATGTATTTCAAACCCGGGGACGTTTGTGTTTCTCTTGTCCCTGATATAGCCGTGTAATGTGCTATGAAGGGAAGAGCCTAGTTACCCATTAGACAAGAAGAACAATCTCTCAGTTCCCAAAGAGGTTGCAATGTTTAGCACCAAGTGTCAAATGCTTTAAAGTGAAAATCCTAAATGCTATGAAAAATTGTTAACTGGTTTGTTGAGGTGTCTGTCAGATATAATACAATCCCCCCCCAAATTGTATAAATCCAAAGGTTTTTGGTATATTACATTCTTAATATTTTAAATTGTGGTAAAATATATATAAAAGATCTTGTCATTTTTCCCTATTTTTTAAAAGATTTTATTTATTTATTTGACAGAGATCACAAGTAGGCAGAGAGGAGGGAAGCAGGCTCCCCAATGAGCAGGGAGCCCGATGTGGGGCTTGATCCCAGGACCCTGAGATCATGACCTGAGCTGAAGGCAGAGACTTTAACTCACTGAGCCACTCAGGCACCCCTTTCCCTCTTTTTATTAACATTCCGGTTAGTTAACATACACTGTAGTACTAGTTTCAGGTGTAGAATTTCGTGATTCAACACTTACATGTAACACCCACTGCTCATCACAGCGAGTGCCCTCCTTAATCCCCATCACCTATTTAACCCAGCCCCCGCCCCCACCTTCCCTCTGGTAACCACCAGTTTGTTCTCTACAGTTAAGTGTCTGTTTCTTGGTTTGCCTCTCGACACCCCCCGCCCCACCACGTTCATTTATTCTGTTTCTTAAATTCCAAATTTGAGTGGGTGTCTGGGGGCCTCAGTTGGTTAAATGTTGGACTCTTGATCTCAGCTCATGTCTTCACCTCAGCTCGGATCTTGATCTCAGGGTTTTAAGTTCAAGCCCCTCTCTGGGCTCCATGTTGGGCATGGAGCCTAGTTAAAAAAAAAATTCCACATATGAGTGAAATCATATGCTATTTTTCTTTCTCTGATTTATTTCACTTAGCATAATACTCTAGCTCCAGCTATGTCATTGCAAATGGCAAGATTTCGTTTTTATGGCTGAGTAATATTCCATTGTGTATACGTGTGTATACATAATGTATACACATACACACACACACACACACAGACATATATATATCACATCTTCTTTATCCATTCATCAGTCATGGACATTTGGTCTCTTTCCATAATTTGATTATTGTTGATAATGGTACTATAAACATCGGGGGGTGTGTGTGTCTTCTCGAATCAATCTTTTTGTATTCTCTATTGGGTAAATACCTAGTAGTGCAATTGCTGGATCATAGAATAGTTCTGATTTTAACTTTTTGAAGAACCACCCTACTGACAAACCTTGGCGTTTATGTGTACAATTCAGTGCTATTAGTTACTTTCATGATGTTCTGCAACCATCACCACATCTTCCCCAAACATGGTGCTGAGGATATGGTTATACTATAATTAGGCTTAGATGGGAAGAGTTTTGTTTATAAAAAAGGGTGTTTAACATCATCATCCTCTGCCCCATGGATCTGCATGGCACATGTTTGCACGACCCCCTGCTGCCTATTTGCTCCTGGGCTGTGGGGAGCAGCCTGGGGCTCAGTCCCTCCCCAAAAGCAGTTTTCTGCTTTGCTCATCTCCATGCCTGAAGGTCACAGCTGGAGAGTTTCTTTTTCTTCTGGAGATCACAGGGGTGAAGGAAAATGCACCAGAAGCCTTCAGAGGCAAGCCCTATATTTTGCACCAGAGTTGCTGTAACCATTCCCTCTATCTCTGTCCCCTGTTCCTATTTCCAATCCCCAACTTACATATTTTCATGTGTTTAATGTACTTTATTTTGTTTTCTGTATGTTGTTTTATATAATTGTGAAATGCCTCAGTTAATTTGTACTCCTGCGGTTTTAACCATGTAAGTTATCTAGGCCTGGACCTAGATGAAGGGATAAGGTTTCGCTTCCTTGTTTCTAGATCATTACTAAAACTGGTCTTTCCCCCATATATCCCCCTGGACACACCTCCCTGACTTACCTTAAGGAAAAAATACACACATGGCTCTTTACTAATGCTCTTACCTTCAACTACATGTCTTTTGTGAGCAGTATATAGCTTATATGAGAAACTGTATTCCCTGGTTCCTCTCTTTTTAATTCTAAGTCACTTTCCCACTGTATCCCTTAGGGTTCCTGGATGCAAGCACAGAACCTGATTCTCACTTATGCAGAAAAGGAGGGGACTGAAGACCATCAGGTAATTAACAGGATCATGGGATGGCTAGAGCCCTAGGTTAAAAGAAGCCACATGCCAAGGATCCCAGAACCTCTCTGGGAAGGTCATTGTTGCTGCCAAGGAAGGGTAGATTCTGTAGCTGTAGCTGTGATCCCCACCAACACTGCATATAGGCTGGTGCTCTGTCCCCGCTGCCTTTGGAAACTGGACGTAGCTACCTGAACAAATTTGTCACTCTTTCATTGCTTTGCGTCAAGTTCTGGGGCTCGTGTCTCTGCCTGGCCAAACCTAGACTTGCAAAAGAAATGGTTGGCTAGTTGGCTTTTTTAGCATCTAGAATAGGAGGAAGACCCTATCTCTTGCTAAGATTCATATGGTGAGGAGTTCCCCAAATGGAGGAAGACAGTTCAGAGGGTGAGAACCCGAGTAAGTTACAGATGTCCCCTACAGGTAGGAAGCATCTGGTGTTCTGTACGGGGTGGAATCAGAGCTTAATTTTCTCCAATTCAGAATTCTTGAAAGTGAAGTTTGTTGCTCTCCCTTTCCTTCCGTTACAAAAATGAAAAGACACACTTGGGCAATTTCTTTTAGCAGGTTTGTTTAGTAAGGCAAAAATTCTGACATCAAAACCTCATGGTATTCCCCCACCCCGCCAAAAAAATTTTACACCGCTATGTTTGAATTTTTGTTTTAAGATTTATATACTTACTTATTTATTTGTCAGAGAGAGAGAGAGCGCACAGGCAAACAGAGGCGGAGGAAGAAGCAGTTTCCCTGCTGAGCAAGAATCCCGATGTGGAACTCGATCCCAGGACACTGGGATCATTACTTGAGCCAAAGGCAGCTGCTTAACTGACCGAGCCACCTAGGCGTCCCTACACTGCTATGTTTGAAATACAGCTATGGAGCAAGTCTTTTTCATAGTAAGCTTAACTGAAGCTTATCTCCAATATTCTAATCATCTTATTTTGAGCCAATATTTACAGTTTTATAATTTTCAAAGTTCTTTTTCTACCACCTTTCATCCTTTATGTGGACACTGTTAGATTTTCTTTAAAAAGTATTTTGCTTGTATTACTATAAGGTAGGAAAAAAAGAAAAAAATAAGTCAGAATAGGAACAAAATACAGAAAAACAATACTGTTGTTTTTGTAACTAAATCCAAATAACCTACTAACAAGGATTTTTGTTAATGAAACATCAGTTTATCCACAGTGCATTATTTCTCAGGTAAGTAGGCAAGTAGATTTGTTAATAGTAAACAAATCTATATTTGTTTACTAGTTAGAAGTTTCATTCTTTTAATTCCACAAAGTCTCAAAATCTTAATCTGCTTCACCGATGTCCTATTTTTCTGACATCTTTTATAAATGATGACATTTGAGTTGTCATTGCTGCCTCATACCAAAGTTACTTCTCACCATTTCCTGTGGATTTATGGTGAAATGTACTATATTTAATTAATGATTTTATATCCCACTGCTGTCCTCCAAACCGCAGTTAAAGTGGTGAAAAGAGACTCAGCACAGGAACTAGGTGCTTGCCTATCCTTAGACAATTGTCAATTATAAAACAGATTGGATTGCCAACCTAATGATTTTCTTGGGCAGAGATGTTTCCAGTAAAATAACGGGCACCAGTGAAAGAGAGCATTGCTGGTGGGAGGGGAGAGGTGATTTGTGCAATTTCCTTTAAAATTTTAGAAGTTCATGGTCCAGGCTGCTGCCGAAGCCTATTCTTATCTCTTGCTAGGAGAGGCAAATGATTCTGACCTCTCCAAGCTATAGGATGCAGAAAGAAGCTGGTGTGGTAGAGGAAAAGGGAGGCCAGCCAGATGGTGGAGGCATGGAGAGTAGGGAGGAGTAAGGGTGAGGGTTGGGGTGCTAATTAGCTTTTCTTGTCTCACCAGCAGTCTGTGGCAAGCAGATGGCTACACCCCTAATACTACCCTTTTCCTGGCCAGCATGCAGTAGTGGTTGATCTTGTGGTCAGGCAGAGAGTGTGCATTTTTTTTTGCCCTCTTCAAAACGTGGAAGTGGTAGAGGGACATGCAAAGCAGGTTTAAGTATCATAGGATCTAAGAAAAATAGATCTCCTCTCCTTCCATTTTTTGCAAGATGCCCATTAACTAGGTGCCAATTGATGTTTTGATAACATTAACTGAAAGTCATGTATTCTTTCTATTATAAAAATCAATCCAAACCAATCAAACTGTGCCTGAATATTTAAACAACAATAAAATGATAAAAACTGGCTAAGAAGTCTAAACTCAAGAGGCATAGCATGTGTTTGGAGAGAGGTTGGCTTACAGATAATTATATAAAGATTCAGGCGAGCCCATGTCAGAGGTCCTAACATTGGCTTTTCCTTACATACTCTGTCAGTTTCTCTGGGGTGGGGACTGTGTCTTGATTACTTCGTGATTTCTCTAGAGCTAGCCATATGGGCATTCACTGAAACTTTGTGAAAGAGAATAAAATTTTAGTAAGTCAATCACTACATGTGCTATGCAATATTTGTGTAGATGTTGACTCTCTGCCAAGATAAACGTTAACATGACAAAGTAAAACCGTTAACAGTTTGAAAATGCAGTGTTGTAAGGGGCACTGATTTTTCTCAGTACTGGTATAATGTTTTACATGCTAAGTGGAATAGAAGCTTTTAAAATTGGGAAGCAAAAATTCTAATATCTCTTTTTGTAGAGGAAGGAAGCGGAATAAATACTTACTGAGCCCTGAATAGGTACCAGATAGACTGTGTGTACATTAATGTAGTCAATTCTGTTAACATCCCTGTGAGGTAGTTCTTTCTCTGGTTTTTACAAATGAGGAAATGGAGCTTCACAGATGTTAAGTAACTTGCTAGAGGTCACGCAGCACGAGACTATGCAGGATTCACACTTGGATATTCCTGATTCTAAAGCCTGCACTGTCCTGACTTTATGCTACCTGAACCCTAACATATCTCCATTGGTCCCTCAAATATTCTCAGTTTTATTTGTCTAGCAATCAGTCAAATCAGTACCTGAAATAGTCTCTGTGGTCTTTCTCTCCACCTGTCCCGACGGCAGAAAGAGATCAGGCATCTTGGTCTTCAACTGCTTAATCTCCTAACTGAAATCATTTGGGGAATTTTAGAGACAAATGGGAGGGAAGTAGTGTATTTCTGTATTTTCTGGTGATCCAGAACAGAGCGCTAATCCTGATTCTAACATGCAATTCTGTAACTCTCTTCCACTGAATTTCCAAGCTTTCACATTTCCTTATGCTTGCTAATACATGATACATGTATCTTATTCTTGTGTTTGATATTTATCCTATTGGCTGAACATCTTTTAGATGTCACAGTATATCTGATGTTAACCAGATTCCATTTGGGGTGGATGAGACATCTATGGTTTGCTTTCTCATAGCTTTAGCAGGCAACACTCCATTTTAAAAATATCCATTTTTAAAAATATGCATTTTCAAACAAGTGGTTCATTTCCTGAAATTTCTTCAACAATAATCATGATCAAATTTGGACGAAGCATATGAAATGACATACTAACCTGAAACTGAAATAGGCTATTGGCATTTAAGGAGAAAAAGCTTTCCATTGTCTGTTATTATTTATGACACTTAGTACTATTTTATCAATAATAAGTGGTGACTAAAATAAATGTTATAGATCAGATTCTTACCTTCAGACCAGAATAATAAAAAAATAAGTTTTCTAAATGGAAGTCTTACAAAGTTGTTAAATCGTTGTTTGAGACATTTTAAGTGTATCTCTTGGCTCATGACTACCAGCGCCCCTTGCTCAAAGGAAGTATGCAGAAGTAGCTCTTAGATAAAGTAGACTTGTCATGAAATCAGGGAAGTCCAGGGTACTTAGATCATCCCTTGCTGTATATTGCTCTACTCAAATATGGGGGCCTATAGACAGAAAAGTAACCATATTTCATCCTCTGCAGTGTCTCCCAAGGATGTTCATCAGCCTTAAAGAGTCTTATGGTTTGGTTGAAATGACAGACCCAAAAGCAATATGCTAGGTTCCAAATGACTGCTCTAGATGATAATGCCACAGGAGTTCATAGGAGGAATGACTTTAAATATTTGGGGGTGAAGCCCCCATTTTGGATCCATTTTACTTTTGAAAAGAAAAATGCTGGACTCTCTCCTGTGTGACTTCCCTATGACCATGGAGACCTCTTTTCTCCCTTCCTTGCTTTGAGTTCAGCCCAATTTAAATCACTTTCAGGAAATATATAGTAAATGACAAAAAACTCAGAGGTCAAGATTAGAGAAGTGAAACCAATTTCTTTTAAATGACAACGGTTTTCTGAAAACCTCGTGGAGCTGATTCAAGTCACTACAGGGTGGTTTTTCAAGGGGGTGTCAGAACAGAACTTCTCTGTAGTCATAGATGACATGGCGGGCTGTCTGACCTAATTACTTCTGGTAGGTAATTGTATATTCACTTATACGGCTCTGGCTGTAACTCAGGAGCCCCAGCGAGACTAAGGGCAGGAGCCGCGTGCTCTATTTCCTGTCTGTTCTCCACGGCAGTGTATCATAACGCTGTCATCCCTTGAGCTCCTGTGATAAACACAAAATTCTCATCTGCCACCTCAAATCTAAAAAACCCCCTTAGAGGCAGGAGGATTTCTGTCTTCCCCCACCACAGCCAGTTTAAAAATTAAAAAAGAAAAAAAACTTTTAAAATTTTTAAATAAAGCCCATTTGACTGAGAAAATTTAATCAAAATTTAAAATATTTATTATTGAAATGATAGGTGATTTTTTTGTCTTTTAAAATATAAAGTATAAAATTTGAATACTAGATCTCTTTTGTAAGTCATAATGCTACCCCGGATTCTGATAAGTCCCTTTTTTTTCTCCCTTCTCCTCATCCCCTTATTAAAAATTCCTTCTCCACTCTTACTGAATTAAACTTATGGTGTGCCTTCAGTTGTTTAGAATGTTGTTATGTTATTAAAAGAACTCAGGTCCCTGGATTGCTAGAGATCAGTATTTGTAT